AAAGTCAAAGAAGGCTTTTTTGTTTTTATTCTAAAAATTCTCCTACAACTAGAGACTTGATACATTCTAAAATGCCTCATATTTGGGTTTTCTTGCACAGTTCTTTGCATTTCCTTTTTTTCTTAACTTGGCATTGTAATCACTAAGTAGGGGTCTATTTTATTAACCACACAATCTACTTATGTAAAATTTTCTAGAATAAAGTGTTTTACCCCTAACATGTGATAGTGTCTGAGATATAACAGACTTTCAATAAAGATTTTATACATGCATAAAAATTATAGCAAAAAGAATAAATGGTGGTGCTGGTATGGTAAAGAGAGGTTGGGGTTAACATGATAAATGGAGTGTGGTGCAGCAACGAGAAGGAATGGGTTAGATGCACACAGCAAGACAGGAGGATCTTGAACACAGTTCTTATTGAAAAAAAAGTAGGGCACAATGAGATGAGCACAGACTCCTTTATGTACACAAAAACAAAATTACACATTTCATCACAGATGCAAAAAGAATCCATAAATATATAAAGAAATACTATGTCACTTTAAAAGCAAAGTAATGAAGACAGTGTGGTACTCACACATGGATCGACAAATATACCATGGAACAGAAAACTCAAAACAGGCCTGAATTACGGTAAAGGTGGCATTGGTGAGCCCGGATGGTCATTTCACTGAATGGTTTTCAGTGAACTGGCTATCATATGTAACAAAATAAATCTTGACACCCCCCCCCCCCTTACTATCTCAAACTATTCATGTAAACTGATGCCAAGTAAATAAAATATAAATGTGAAATGTTCAATAATTAGGTTTTAGGACACTGTCAAAGACAGCTTTCTGCAGTGATGACAAGAGCCTATATCTGTGTTGTCTAAAATGATAGCCACTAGCCATATGTGGTTGCTTGAGCATCTAAAAGGTGGCTTCTGTGACTAAGAAAGTAAACTTTAATTTCAATTTATACTAGTGGAGCTAGTGCCTACTAGAAAAGCACAGCTCTAAAAGATAATGGGATATATACTGCATGGCCATATTTTTTACCTTGGGATAAAAAATATTTCCTATACAGGACAGAAAAGGCAGCAAACCTAAGGAAAGCACTGATATATTGGATTATATTAATATTAATAACCTCGACTTGTCAAATTATATACCATTCAGAAAAATGAAAGGCCAAGTCATAAAATGGAAGATACTTCAAATAAATATAACTGACAAAGAGTTCATATTCAAAACTCTGAAAAAAAAATACAAATTAAAACCACAATAAGATGTATTTATAATCTCCAAAATGTTTGAAATTTTAAAATAAGTGACAATATAAAACATTGGCAAAGATGTGAAACAGCTGGAAATTTCACATATTGTGCATGAGAGTAAAATAGACAGAACCACTTTTTACGGGGCTGTCTCCTAAAAATGAATACATATCCCATGACACAGTAATTTCATAAATGTCTATCAAAAACACATCATCAAGAATGTTCACAGCACCTTCTTAACAGTCATAAATGAAACAACACAATGGGTAAATTGTGGTATAGTACTAATACAAAAGAACATTTCTAGCAATGAAAGTGAGCAACTTATATCTACACAAACATAATACTGATCAAAAGGGCCAGACACAAAATATTATATGACTCCAAATTTATAAGAGGCTCTAAATCTTTAGGCCAAATTAAGTGACAGAAGATAGGCTTAAAGGAGAGGAAGGAGAAATTATGGACTGAGAAGCGAAAAGAGAAGGATTTTGTTATAGGGTAATAATAAGCTAGGAAAATTTCAGGGCAGGAGGAATAGGAAACTGAGTAAGGAAAATAAAGCCAAAAAGCTTTGCAAGAGCTTTTAGCAGGACATTATCTTGAGATCAAAGGGTTAAAATCCCTCGTTCTCACAAAAGAATGAAGAGAGGAACAGGAAAGGGGGAGAGAGGAATCCTAATTCAACTTTCCACTAACTAGAGACTACTTAGTGCAAATCATCCTGAAGTTGTTAAAGCAGCAGGGGGGTGAGATGGAAAAGAGTGCAGTGAATCTCATCCCACTGTTTAACCCAGTGGTTCTCAACTTTTCTAATGCCGTGACCTTTAATACAGTTCCTCATGTTGTGGTGACCCCCAACCATAAAATTATTTTCTTTGCTACTTAATAACTGTAATTTTGCTACTGTTATGGATTGTAAACATCTGTGTTTTCTGATGGTCTTAGGTGGAGGCTTTAGGTTTGGGTAGGGGCTGAGCCAGGGATCGGAGGGAAGGTGGGTGGGGGGGGGAATCAATGGAAACATATCCTCAGGTGAGGATAAAAAGAAAAAGAAAGAAAGAAATTCATATCTTGAAAATGCCTAAAGAAAGTTGTCATTTTTCATGGTGAAAGGACTGGAGTCCGTATTGATGAAAATATCTTGGTGGCTGCAGCAGAGGGTGATGGGGCTGGCACCTTTCCCTGATTACCCCAGTCACCTCATGCAAAGCGAGGCCAGACTGTGGCGTAGGTCCGCTCCCAATGTGGAGCATCCTAAGCCATCAGTAGGACATCCCCCGAGGGCTCCAAGTATGTAAAAGGGAGCAGGCTGGGCTGAGGGACCCCTCCCCAGTGCACAGATCTCCCTAGTATAATATAAATATGTTAGGTACTGAAATAAAGGTGCTTCCAGAGGTGTAAAAGTTACCCATATTTATACTCAATGATGTGGCGTTGATTTTTGTTGAAGACAATGCTGTTTATTAGAAACTGCAGTATACCAGAGGGCTTAAAAATGTAGAAAATAAATTAGGTAAAATGCACCAAATTAATACTAATAAGATCAAGTTCCAGGGGTGGGGAATTAAGTTATTATCATCATCATTATTTAATCTATCACTTAAGACATATAATTATATTTACGATAAGCAATTCTCAAAAGACACACTACTAATTCAAGATTCTAAAAAATGAATCTTATCTTGAATTCTTAAATGCAGTTAAGGATGTTAGATATATGAAAAAGGAAGTCCCTTTTTCCTACTAGTGTCTTTTTAAAAATGTCAGTCACTTTGCTAATGCCTTCTTACATATTCTAAATATAAATATGAGTTCTTTAGAATCTTCAGTGAAACTTCAGGAAAGAATCACAGGAAATGTTGGTCTTATTATCCAATACATGTAAGATGTGTAGCAGTTTCAGTAATTCCATGTTAGATTTTTAAATCCAATTCAATATATTACTGACAGCCTTTAGGAAAATATTGAGCACTGCTTTGACTACATTTACTGAATCCCTATTAAAGTAAACCTCTTCCATTAAATGAGTCATTTTTTTCACATTTAATTTTTACTTGAATAACAAACCACCTTCTATTGGTGAAAATAACCTCTTTCTCAAGCAAAATATTTCTAAATTAGTTTTTAATTAACAACTTAGATTTTAAAGTAACAAAAGCCCTCATTAAAAATGTAGACTCTCTCAGAAGCCCTCAACGTAAGCAAGATGGAATTGTGTAAGAAGCAAAATTAATTTTAAATGTTCTTCTCAAAACACCTTTCTTTAATACAAAGAAAAGCCACTGAATTTCAGTAAAAATGTTAATTAAATTAAAAGGCAGAGAATGTCTATGGGAAAGGCAGCTGTAAATTCTGAACAGGAAAATTAACATTCATATTTTTGTTCTCAAAGAGCATTGAAAAGGTGACACATCAGAAATTCTGGGTTCTATTTGTTAGTTCTGCCACTAAGTAATCAAATGACCTTTTAATATCTTGATTCTCATTTGTAAACACACTGAAATTGTAATAATCTGTAAGGTTGCATTTCAACCAAGTATTTCAAGATTTTTATGGTCTAATTTTTAGCTGCTTGAAAATAGGAACAGAAAACTGATTTTGCATCCCCATCCCCACAAGAATATTCATCAAGAAAACCTCGAGTCTTATTTTCTTCCAACCAAAAATAATACATAAAAGGAGACATATTTAGTGTATGTGCATCTTCTAATCAGACACTCTTAATCATTTCTTTTAAAATTAAATTACCTACCTCACTGGGGTGTTGTGAGGATTAATTCATTAGTATTTGTAAAGCACTTTGAGATCCTCAGGTCAAAGGCGCTAGCTATAGAAGTGCAAAGTAGTAGTATTATTACTAGATTCTTTGCTTCTTTAAGGAATTTCACAATCCTTTAAAACCTAACTGTGTTATAATTTAGACATCTATTTATAAAACCTTGTACATAATCCACATTATTCTTAACTATTTTTAAATATAGGTAGAGAAGGTCAGGATGTACAAGTAATAATTTTAAAGGTTTAACCTTTGATCTACAAATGGAGGGAGAGAGTAAGGAAAATGTAGTGTGACAAATTTTGTTTAGGAAAAATTTTAGTGAGAAATTTAGAAGTGTGCCTAACTTTTGTATCCACAACTGAAACAAAAACTCCACTTTATCTGCAGATTCTACAATGAGAAATTCCTTTCTTCAAAGAAAAAAGGAAAACAACTTTCAAGTCAATTCCATTTTAAAAGGGGTACTAAGCTTATACACATGCAACTGTCATGTAAACCTTTATATTTAAATCAGAATAACAGTATCAATATGGACTGACATAAAATTAATAGAGCGATCTTTTCTTTAAGCTGGCCTCCCACCCCCAACTACACAAAGCAAACTAAGCAGTAAGAGGAGGTCAAAGCAATTTTGCTTTATGGAGTTTTAAGAGAAAAATAAAGAGGGCCAAAGCTTCAAAACCAGTTAATATCTTGGATCAATCCACCACTCCCCGCCCCTTTCTCCCAACAAATCTTTTTACAATTAAAGCATTGCTTAAAAATTAAAGCAACAACACACACATGTACACACCAAAGCTAAGAGAAACAGTATATACATTGGATAATCTTCTCAACAAACAGACGTTTCTTTTAAAAAATGCCAATATCCTCTGATGAAATTCTTCAGTGCAAATCAAGCTCCAGTCCCAGGAGCAAACTGAACTTTATATGTTATAACTTTAAAACACTTACCTCCTGCTCCTGTTGAAAGATGACAACTCTACCACCTTTATCTCCTGTTGCTAGTAATTCTCCAGAATGATTAAATTCTACTGTAGAAATTATATCTGCTGTATAATTAAAACAAACAAAAATAGGTATTAGTTTTTCTCTCCCAATTCCCTAGAGTTTTAAACTTGGCATGCGTTCCCTAACACATTCTAAGTCTATTCATACATCCTGCCATCAAAAATAAAGTAAATCTAAAGTTTTCATAAATGTTTTAGTTCATCAAAAAAATTCTCACTAGAATAAACCAATATGACACACTATTTTAACAAACAGGAACACAACAAGTAATAAATATCAGTGGTTTATTAATATTTCATTAAATTCATGAGTGTTCGAAATCAACAACTTGTGAAACGTTCTATTGATAGCACCATTAAACATTAATAATCATCTTGCTAATTTTCTTTCTTATATACTTTTGATAAGCTCTTTTATGCAAACCCAAAGATAAGACTCTAAAATTAAGGCAGATATCATTAAAATGGAGGACGTATTTAAATGTAAAAATAATTTCAGATGAAATATTAAGTACAAATTCATAAACTCAAATTATGGCCTCTCAAACAAAAATCTGCAAACAACACACTTATATCAGATATGCTTTGTGCTATGCACCTTCAGTATGCACAGCTCTTCCCGTGGCTCCCAAACACTGCAAAGGCACTAGAATCAGTCACATTGCACCCAAAGTTGGTGCTAACTTCACAGTCAAGTTCAAATAAAATTATCAGGGTTTTTTCCTTGCTTTTTGACACCAGAGCCATTTTCCTAAGGAAAAAAATCCAAGTTACAGAATTGGGCGTTAAGATAAAGCAATACACTTTGCTATTCTAGAAAGCATTATGCCTCATTAGGGATGACTCCATCATATGCATTTTAAACAAATAAGTCAACTTTTTCTACAAGAAAGGGGTTATTTTCTGATCTACATTAGCTCACTCTAAGAATTTAACAGCCCAAGCCTGTTTGGCTCAGTGGACAGAGCACCAGCGCAGCCTATGAACTGAGGAATTCCAGGTTCCATTTTAGTCAAAGGCATGCTGGATCCTGGCCCTGCGCCGATGCTCATTCGGGAAACAACCAATCCATGTGTGTTTCTCTCTTCCCACCTTTCATTCTCTAAAAATCAACGGGAAAATAACCTCAGGTGAGGATTAACAAAAAAAGAATTTAACAATGTAACTTTATAAAGAGCACCATGTCCCTAAAAATGTACTGATCAATATATCTTATCAGTAATCTGTCCAGCATTGCATCTTACAATTATTTTATTTTTTAGTGATTTTTCCAAGTCCATTTTGATTTTTGAAAGCTTTCTTTGCTTTTTCCATTGACGAGGTCCAAGGCATTTTACCTTTCTGAAACTCTTTAGAACCTAATGCAAGTTACACATGCTCTCCTAAGAAATGGTACAAATTTAAATGCACACAAAAATATGCATACAATTCCATAGGGTCTGGACAGCATCTCACTTCCAGGTTAAAAATGTTAGCCCAGACAACCCACCAGTGTCAGTGGTATTAGGAGTAAAGAATGTTTACTGTTTACACTGCATTCATATGTAACATAAAGGTGTAAAACAATGTACTGAACGACTCGTAAAGCCAAATATCAATTAGTACTTTTAAATATCAATTAAAAGTTGATCTAGTAGGTGCTATGTACTATACTGACTTATATAGTGACTATAACAAAGCATTACAAGCATACCTAGTTCCTACACTTAAAGCACAACAGAGTACAGCTGGAGAGAGAGAATAAGTAGGAATTAACAATATTAGGAGGCCAGGTTCTAAAATCAGGGAATGAGCTGAAACTGGTTTGGCTCTCCTGTGATCTCCAGCTATGAGTGGATAGAGCGTCAGCCTGTGGACTGAAAGGTCCCAGGTTCGATTCTGGTCAAGGGCATGTATCTTGATTGCGGGCACATCCCCAGTGGGGAGTGTACAAGAGGGAGCTGATTGATGATTTTCTTTCATAGATGTTTCTAACTTTCTCTCCCTCTCTCTAAAAAAATCAATAAAATATATTAAAAAAAAATAAAGTCAGGGAATGAGGTAAATATCATACATGGTAAAAAATACCTTTAAATTCAAATTCCTCAGACACCAGTACTTAGGAGAATTCTTCCCCTTCTAAGTCCAAGTAGGCTAATTTCTTTACAACCTTGGTGTTTCTTTGGCTAACTCATCAAAGGAGCTAATTTGAACATAAAACTATGCTTTGAAAGTTTTTTCTGAGTTGTAAAATGTCCAAGATCTCAGAAGGCCTCACTTAGAATCCTATTTAATAAAGAGGGAATATGCTAATTGACTGCCATGCCCTCAAAGATGGCAGCACCTAGTCCCTTCAACCCCACTGGGGTGGCAGGCGTGCCCGGCTGCTCCATGCACCTACCTCCAGAGTACCCCTAATCTCCTCAGCCCCCCAGGTGCCCAGGACGGGCTCGAGGCACAGGCAAGCCTCAGATGGCAGCTGCCCAGCCACCCAGGGCCACCTTGGGAACCAGGACTGGCCAAGAATTGCACTGCTGGCAGTGGCAGCAGTAAAGGTGTGATGGGGTGTCAACTTCCCCTGATTGCCAGGTCACCTTCCACCACTGGCTGAGGGGACCTCCCCACCCTAGTGCATGTATTTTCAGCACCACGCCTCTAGTAAGACATAAAAAGGATGAATAAAAGGGAGAACAAAATCAAATAATATTTATCCTACATAATAAAAGGCTAATATACAAATGACTGACTGATGGAATGACTGCCCACTATGATGTGCGCTGACCACCAGGGGGCAGACATTCAACGCAGGAGCTACGCCCTGGTGGGAGCCTCTCCCACATCCGTGGCGATGCTAAGAATGTCCAACTGACGGCTTATGCCCACTAAGCCGTCAGTCAGACACCCCCCCCAGAGCTCCCACTGTGAGAGGGTGCAGGCCAGGCTGAGGGATGCCCCCTCCAAGTGCACAGGTTTCGTGCACGGGCCTCTAGTAGTTCATAAAAAACATCCAGGAATGAATTACAGAGACCACTATGACACTGAGCTTTCAACTGTATGTGCTACTGCATACTGGTGTGCTAAATTTGCCTGGATTCTGCAGAGCACCGAAACCTGTGATTTCCAGCTATGAGCTACCTGCTTATCTTGGTGTGCCATACAAACATTACTGTGTTCAAGGTGTGCCATGATGTGCAAAACTCTAAGTCTTGTGCCTCCACATTATGGCACACCCAGACAAGGTTAAAGTGTTGAAAACAGCAATAAACCGATTTCTAGAAATATTCTTCTAGTGCTCTGATTCCTACATCATTAAAAACATTTCGAGTAATGATTGCAGAAAGTCTGCAACAGTGCTGTTCAACAGAACTTTCTGTTACAATAGGAGAATCCTAAATCTGCACTGTAATTACTAGCCACATGTGGCTCCTGAATGTTTTAGTCAAACTGTATCTAGGGCCACCCACATTGGACAGCCTAAGTCTAAAACATTTCAGGTGAACAATTACTTAAAAAAAAAAAAAAAATATATATATATATATATATATATATATATTTATTTATTGATTTTTTTACAGAGGGGAAGGGAAAGGGATAGAGAGCTAGAAACATCGATGAGAGAGAAACATTGATCAGCTGCCACCTGCACACTCCCCACTGGTATGTACCCACAACCAAGGTACATGCCATTGATTGGAATTGAACCTGGGACCCTTGAGTCTACAGGCCAACGCTCTATCCACTGAGCCAAACCCTTAGGGCTGAACAATTACTTTTATTGAAAAGCCCAGATTACTAAAACTAGGAGAATTTTGTACCTTTTGCAATGCACTCTGGGTAAAATCAATCTCTCTCTCTCTCCCTCCTCTCCTCCACCCCCCAGAGGAGAAACAGGCCGAAATATAAATGTATTTCCTGAAAATTTAGAATCCTGTTTATTAGAGTTTTAAAACTAACTATTAATGAAAATTAGAAGTACTGAAAATCATTTTACTCTTGAGATTAAAGTAACTATAATATACTTTTAAAAGGCAAAGACGTCAACCTCTCTGTTAAAGCCTTAATACCAAACTTTAGGCATGGTCCAGTATATACAACAACTGGGTCATGTTCTCACACACATCTTAGAGATTACTTTTTAAAAATATATATTTTTATTGATTTCAGAGAGGAAGGTAGAGAGGGAGAGACTGAAACAATGATGAGAACCACTCATCATTGGCTACCTCCTGCACCCCGAGCATGTGCCCTTGACTGAAATCAAACCCAGGACCCTTCAGTCTACAGGCCGACACTATTCATTGAGCCAAACCAACCAGGGCTTAGAGATTACTTTTGTATTTCCTAAATATTAAATGTTTAAAATGTGTTCAACAACAAAACAATAACAACAAAACAAAGACGACACTTCTTTTAAACACAGCCCTAGCTGGTTTGGCTCCATGGATAGAGCATCAACCTGTGGACTTAAAGGGTCCCAGGTTTGATTCCAGTCAAGGGCACGTGCCCAGATTGCAGGCTCAATTCACAGTAGGGGGTATGTAGGAGGCAGCCAATCAATGATTCATCATTGATGTTTCTCTCTCACCAATAAAATAATCTTTTTCAAAAATTAAAAAAAAAAAAATGAACACAATGCTTCTGACCTTTGTTGTTAAATTCTATATACTATTAGTAAAAACCAAGGAGCTATCATCCTATATAATAGAGGTAATATGCAATTAACCCTCATGCCCTCACAAAATGGCTGCTATGACCATTAGTGAGGGATGACCAATTGATTAAACAACAGGCTGTGTGGGGCAACCAATCTGGCTGGCGGGGGCAGGGGGAGAGGGGGAAAGGGAATGAAGGGGGGGCCATGAGGGGCAACCAGGCCAGCTGGGGCAGGGGGGTAGTTAGGAGACACCCCCACCCCGTTCACAAATTTTGTGCACAGGGCATCGAGTGTGTTATATAAAATGAAATTCTTATTTCTTCCTATCCCTTCTTTCTAAACTGTCAGCACCGATTTTCATCCTAAGGTGAAATAATTGCTTGCTTTTGGAGGTGGAATGGTAGTTGGT